TATGTACAAGTTGCACTGTACGTGTCGCTGCACTTCCATTCGCAAAATTGATAGAGCCCAGGAATACTACTAGTAAACTAGTAAAAGCATGTACAAGGCAAAGCAACTTCAAACTCCGCTCGTGTGGAGCAGGAATTCCTTCCACCACCACATGCAACCTTCTCCAGCAGAATCTGCAGGAGTCGCTACCTGGGCCCCCGAGCATGATTCCCGGCCACCAGCAACTTATGCTGATGCCTCGCAGTCCGGAGCCCATCAAGCGACGAAGCCAACCGGAAAAGGGAACCAAACCATCGGACTGAAATATATTCCATCCCATTGACCCCTGAAACTACCTATAATATAGGCAAATAGGTCATACATGGAGCGTCTGGGCTATCATGAGTTTGATGTCTTTGGTCCCTGCATCTCAGTTTGCCCAACTTGTGATGGAGATTCAGCATGTTTCAACAGAACATATTGCTTCATTGGCCCAACATGCGAGATGTGCGAAGGTGATCCTCTCCGGTGGCACCCCCCCGAAAAAAATATCGAATGCCGGTGAGATCCGGTGAGACTAAACTGCCCATCTCCTGATAGAAGAGTTACATATTCACAGCATTCAGAACATGTCAACTATACCGAGAAGATCTGAGAAATGTATAATTCAAAACCTTCTAGAGGATCGGGCAAAAACTATAGGGAGGAAAGAAGGTCGTCAGCGGACCCTCTTGATGACGGGTCGGCCTGAAAACCTCGGAACTGACTTGATATGAACCAACACTATACACATGACCTACCGGGGCTGCCAACTATCTGCTAACCAACTCCATGTCAATCTTGTTAAACCATGTTGATCCCCAATGTTTCCAAATCTGGGCATCCGCGGCAGTGCCAGATTCCGGAAACGCAGAACAAGTCATCCGCAGTGCTACTTCTCGCTCTCGGCTCTCGCTCACTTGCTTTGGATCCCCTGGCGGTTGCTGCTCGATCCAACGATGAAAGCTCCTCAAGGCCTCCAGGGCGCTGGCCTCGTCGCCCGGTGACGCGGGGTGACCGGAGGGTCCCGGTCGAGCAGCACGAATCCAAAGAACTCTTCTGGCAGTCGGGCAGTCTGCAGTGGAATCTGGCCAACATCATGGGCAAATGGCATCCAATCATAGGTTAGACAGTCCTTGACTGAAACTGGTGGAAGCGGTTGCAACAGAGCAATCTGGAAAGCCTCCTAATTAGTTAGTGTCTGGCACAGAAATTGGCTCCTTGTATCACCCCCACAATCCCCCACATGTTGTTTCATGATGCTTTGCATTGCTTTGCACCCAACTTCTGTCAAACACAAGTCGCTTTTCCGTCCAATCCACAGGCCACCCTTCCGCTCCACTCCGCTCCGCCCAAAAGGCACAAAACCGGCCTGCAGACCTCTGCTCTCCAGCAACACATCGCCACAGTGGAGGAGGATCTGCGCGTTTTGCCGTTCGCGACAGACGCATCGACAGAAGCCGGTCGCACCTCGCCGTACGGGAGGTGAAGGTCCTCGTGCTGCAAATGAGTGTCCTGAGCTGATGGATGTCCCAAAAGCGTGGCGTCCGATCGCTCCGTTCGTAGCGATGCCCTTGCTACTAGTAGCTTCTTGTTCCTAGCAGTAAGGCCAGGAGCTACGTTCGGTTCGCGTCCGATCGCTCCGTTTGTGGCCATGGCCATGGCATGGCCCTGCCGGAGTCCGGGCGCAAACCAACCTGGGGACGCCACGGAGATGCACACGCAACCTGAGTGTGGTGAGGATCACACACCGGCCTGCATAACCTGGGAAGATGCATGCACCTGCAATATGCAGTGTTGCTAGTTCGAACCAGGGAAGGTACCAAACCAATATTGTATACCTGCTGGTTGCACACTTGGCGGCATCCCCCCCCAATTAGACAACCAACCGATAGTAAAAGGCCATCCATGGTTCGTACTCGGTTTGCTGGAGAGTGCATGACATGAAGCCCAATTAACAGAATCAAGGCAGTAAAGTACCTCGTGGCAGTCCTGGCACCGTCGAGAAAGCAACATCATGCAGCAAGCAATGAATCATCTCATCTGTTCCATTGTATTCCCATTGACCTTCCTGTGTTCAGACTTTAGAATTAAGAAGTTCTTACAGTTTAGACAAACAAAACGTCACCCCGCGGCTTCCTGCCATCTTCATCAAGCCGCCGACGCACGCAGCCCTCCTGTGGTGGTGGCGGCCTCTTCAGCCTCAGCACTCTATCGACGTAACATGACGCAGCGCCAACCACCATCTATCCCTCAAAGGCCTTGACTCACGGCGTTACATACAGTGAAGGTGCCCTTCGAACGAGTCATTTGGGTTCCTTTTTTTGGGGGGGGGAATCGTTCGAAGCCGTCCACCAATCCATGCATGTAAGGCGACCTACATTGGGGGAGTTATACTGGTGATCAATAATGTATACCATGACCAGGACCTTCCAACAGGTGGTTTTAGAAGCCTAACAGGTGGTGAACCTGGGCACCTACTGTCACCAGCATGTTGGAGGGTCCACCGGCCCACCGGCGGAAGAACTTTTGCGATTCAGCACTCATCTTGATGGCTTGGAGCTCATCCTCAATGACCTGGCAGCAAAGCGGTCTCAAGTCATTCCTGGAAAGGCATATAAATGCCAACTAACATTTGGCCTGGACACAGAACACGTTGGGAGTCCTGGTTGCCATGAACTCCTCGAAGGCCCTGAAGATGTCTTGGATTTCTGCCAGGTTGGGGATTTGCTGTTAGACTTTGCGATTGCAAAAGCTCACTGGTGACATGAGGCTGCTCCATCTACGTCCGTTTTGGTGATGTTGGGTGGGATGGTGAGTGGTCAGCCCGCCCTCAAATGTCCGAAGGTGGAGCAGCTGCATCTTCGGTTTCTTCATTTCTAGAACGTTTTCCTGTTTCAGTGACCTCTGAATTGCAATGAATTACCGTAATTACCAGATTTAATTATAATATATGTGTAACTGTAACTGCATGATCAAATTGAGTGATCGCTCTAAAGGCAACAATTCGTCCTGGGACAGTGCCCTCCACTGGCTGGAGATAGTGAGTGGGAATGGCACTGGGATCAGGTCAAGGCACTTCTGACATCCATGTGGATCGAGCAATTCGCTCACGATACCTGGGTGGAAGTCTTCGCACTTCTGCTGGGAGCTTCCATCGCTGACCCCAACAACAAGGTGCTGGTGTACACCCTAATTGCCCCCCCCAAACAAAATATAACGCACTCACCCTAGGCGTGGGCTCGATCATGCACTCTCCGAAACTCGTCGGTGGCACTGTATACCCTAGTATGACCATGACCACTGTATAGGCTACGAAACGTATACAGTATTCCCTATAAAGACGAAACCACATATAGACGAAACGATACCACATACCACGTATATAGTCTGTGCCAGACTTGGACGGGTCCTGGGGGCCCGGCGGAGCCAGGTGGCAATCGATTTACCACATATATTGTAATACGAGTGCGATTGCAGCCTGACTCCAATCCATGGTAACCACCTAATTCCTTCCTGCATAGATGGATTAGTTTCTTGTGACTATTAATTTTCATGATTTTTCATGTAGTGATCTGTGTACAATTTGGCCAGTCACGCCTTATGAAACCTTCACATGGAGGCCAGCACCCGTCCATGAGAAAGATACCAAACATCGGTGCTTTCCACTTCGCATGTTAGTTCCAGGGAGTTTAGAAACCTCATCTTATCCTCAAGTTGGCGGGGCATCAAAAAGTAGTTGGACCTTCCAAAGCCAACCCATACACCTTAAAGGCGGACGTGAATGGGCCCACGCGTCCCAAATGCCTTCCCTGTTGCTCCTCCAAGAGCTGTTGATATGCCAAAGTCTCCTCATCCTCACCCAGTTCGCCGCTGGTGGGGTCTTCTCTCAAAATCCATGTGACAAACATCGATGGGACGCAGCAGCTATGAAAACATATGAAAACGAGTTTGAAACAAAGCACGTCAAAGCAATCTCTGTTGAACACATGGCAATTTGTGGGCCAAGAGTCATTAGGGAATGTCTCCCAATTTCACCCACTGACTTCCATGTTAGTTATGCATTTGCATGAGCATGCTCAATTGACATGGTTGCTCCAGCCACCATGATAAGCTGCTTCTCCACGCAGCCTGGGCGTCTCCACGCAGCTTCTCATGCACACGGGACCGCACGTCCATCGGCAACAGTCGAGCGGTGCGCGACACGCTGTGCTCACCTGGCAGTCGTGTGCATCGCGACAGGCGACGAGGTGTCGTCAACGCTCCACCGAGAACAAGAAGAACGTGACCTTTTCCAGTGCAATAAGAATGACACACGCAACCTCTCATTCTCTGCATTGCGTGTCTGGTATTGTTGGTAATTGTATATAAGACTTCAGATGAGAAGAATCAGAAGAGTAGAAACATATAGAAACATAAAAGACTCCAACTTATCCCTTAGCCTTATCAGCTCATTTTTAGGTGAGTGCGGTGTTCGTTGCATCTTCCCGCAGGACCTCCTGCTCCAAGCTCTTGAGTAGCTGCTTGCTCAGGTTCCACTTGGGCCGCCAGTGTCAAACAGGCCCCACCTGGGGCGGATCGCGGATCTGTCAAGGGCCCACGGGCCCAGCGCCTTCTAGCCAGGGCCTACTCACGGGGCGAGTCCCCGGTCAGGGCTGTGTGAATGGTTGCTGCAAGAAGTGTTTTACCATTCACCAACGGTATCTGCAAAACCCCAAAAGACTATATTATACTCCTTCTAACTTCTATCTCCTTCTATTCCACGGAATCTGCAAGATCTGTCTGCAAGAGTTCGCAGGTTGCACTATGTTGCAATGACCTGACGTACTTTCGTCAGCCAAGCACCCTGGAAACTGAGGGAATCAACTTCCTGTGGCGCCAACTCACCAGATTCGACCTCCGAACCTGTCTCGCTTCGGAGCTGCTCGGTCCAGCGCCAGCCCCTCTCCAGCAGCCAGCTGCGCAATGCCACCATGGCCTCAACCCACATCAACGCCAGTGGCGACGGGCCACGCTAGCTAGCGCGGACCCCTCCTCCGGCCCGAGCTTCTGGCCTCTGGAGCGGTTGGGCAGGTGGGCTGCAACACCAAAGATCGGATGAAGCTGGGCTTCGAGTCCAAAAGCTGCAGCAACTGGCCTAACGGCTTTTCAGGGCGAAAAAGGGAACAGCGAACGCCGCGAAGTGGGGACTTGGTGTCCAGGTCCTTGGTCAGGTTGATCCTCAAGCCGGAATGGAGGCAGCTTTCAACATGGTCCAACATACCTTGATCCGCCATTTTGGCCACTGTTGTTCGTCTACCTCCCCATTCCTACAGTACCAGCTATGTCATTTGATTGCCATCACCTCCATCCTCAAAGCCTTCAAAAAAGAAGGTGCACACCTTCTATCTTTATGGTCAGGTGCAAGGGCACTTGGCAAGGTCATGAATGATTGTTGTGTGTGTGTGGCTATGTCACGCTTGGCATGACTCCAATGGCGTGTGTCACTGCGCCAGACCCCCTGGTCCCTCATGACGTTCGCTCCAGCTCTCGCCTGACGGCAACCCACAGAGGCACGCGACCGTAATGTCATCGTCGGGAGTGAACGGCCCAAAGCCGTCGCCCAGCCGGAAGTCCAAACCTCAGGTTGACACCCGAGGTCGAAACACATCTAAGAGCTGTTCTTTTTGATCAACGAGTGGCGAAGTCGACGAGCTTGGGTAGACTTGCACCACACAGATCCGAGGAACACATTGGAAAACTATGTTTTTGCCGGTGTTTGTTTCTCCAGGTGTGGGTTCTTCGGGAAACGCCCAAAGCCTCTCACTGAGGTGCACCCTTCCCACGTCCAGGTCATGCCACGTGAGAGCTCGTCGTCGCTGAGTAGGTCTGCTTTCTGTCGTGCCAGCTCCAACGGTCCGCGGCAAACGTCTGTGGCCACCACTGAGGCACCTGAGCCGGGTGGCAAAACGAAGGTCTGTACCAGGGCTCTGGGACTTCTCACTTGAAACACCGACTTCCCGTCTTACGGAGCTCTTCAGAAACTTGAGGATGCACTTGGATTCCTTGTGCATCCACAAGGAATCACTTCATTATAGGCCCGCCAAAACCGCCACGGGTGTTTCTGGAGCCCTGCGGCCCTCGCGCAGGAACGCCATCATTGGATCCTGTGGGATGAACGACTTTGCGCCGGTCACGCCGGTCACCATGAGCTGCTCGGAGAGGAGAAGGCCACCGTGGGTCCTTGAGAAGATCCACCTTGGCCTTTTGGTTGGAAAGTCAAACAACGCGCTGATGCTAAGCTGCCACCCAAACACTCCATGGGACTGCCATATATGCCGATCAGTTGGGGTGGTTTTAGGGGTCAACGGGATGGCATACACGGAGTGTCTGGGCCATATACATTCATTGCCCAAAAGGGTGAGCTTCAATGGGAGGACCTACACCACCAGCTTCCCCCCATATGCCGATCGCACCTCCTTGCACCACTACGTGTGAGGGCGAAACAGGCATGCTGAGACGGTGTGAGGGGCTCGGGGTCACCGGATCGGCTCTACCACAGGAGGATGCATCGACCAAGGGATCCCCCTGGCTGTGCAATCAGCATGCCAAACGATGCCAAAGATCAAAGTGACCCCACTGACCCCACGCATCCACCAGCCTCCCATGGAAAAGAACAACATATTTATATAGTTATATACAAATATAACTCTATGTATCTATGTATGTATGTATGCATGCATGTATGTATGTATCCAAAAATATATGTGTGTGTGCATGTATGTAACAACATTATAAACATATATAGCCAAACTATCCCAAACCTGGCTTTAGTCTGCCCATCTGACCTCTACCCTTCACATGTCGGGAGAAGCATCCCAACTCTCTCCGCGCTCAGCAGCCCCGCGGCCTCCGCGCACCAAGTAGATGGCCAAGTTCCCCACGTAGCATCCAATGTCCGCGATGCGCCCTCCACGATCTTCGCCACGTGGTGCGCCCACGGACTTGCCTTCCAGTGGATGGAGGTGGCAACCCTCGACGATAGCTTTAAACAAACAGTAGATTAAAACCTCCGCCATGTCATTTCCGGAACTTACAGCATTGCAACAAATCAAGTGAACAGTACTGAAGCATGTCCCTGTTTTTTGGTGCAGCTTCTCCCAACTCTCGGCTTGGTTCTGGGAATGGAGAAGTGAATAGCGAGGTGGCGCTTCTCAAAGCGAGGTCCTCCACATAGACTGTGAACATCCTTTGAACATCAACTCCTGGCCATGTCTACGAAAGCTATGTCCCAGTCCATGTTGGGAAGATTCAGGAACCTCTGGGCCAGCTGATGTACAAACTCTGGAGACCTCCGAAGACTTGAGAGAGGAGGGGGTGAACGAAAGGTAGCAGGCAATCACAAGTAACCCTGGTAGAAGTCCACGACGGCGTGAACCGGCGCAGGGGGGATTTGATCCAGGGGGGGGGGGGCCCCCCCCCCCCCGACGAACAGAATCAACTCTTACAGGACCAAATTCAATGCACAATCCCAACTCCTGATTGTAATACATTTTTGCTAAAGCAAGGAGAACTCAGGTAGCTCAAGCTACCTTTCGTGATTTAGCGTGTCTGTCTTCTGGGCCAGTGTGATTTACTCTTGCAAACCAGGACTCCCCATATCTCCCATGGTTCAGGGTGCCTGTGACTGCTCCAAAGCTCACCCAAAATCGCACCTGCCGCGGCCAGCGCCGCCCGCGCTGCCTGCGCCGCAGTGAGGAGCCGTGGCGGCAAGGCGCCGTGGTCCGCCATCCATGGCAATCGCTCCAGTCATGGGCAGTGCGAGGCAAGTGAAGCGTGATTGGTCGTAAGTATCCATCTGGGCAAGTGACTAGGCAAGTGGTGAAACGCATGGTTTGGCATGGACATACTGCATCTTGAGTTCCCATTCTTGGTCTTGGGCCAACTGACGCCCATGGTTCACATGGAACAGAGGCTAGGAGTGCATAGTTTGTCTGCACACCCGATATCCACACACACACACACCTTCTCATTTGACCGTCTGGGCCCACTGCCACTTCCAATGGCACTTCTCCAACCCAGAAGAGCTCACCTGGCTGCCATGCGTTTCGGAAGCAACGCGAAGCCATGGAATCCGATGTATGTTCAATTCAAACTAATTAACATGGAAGTGGACTGTCTGGCAACTCGGATGACCATATCTTCTATGTAGACAGATGGTTTTACATGGTTGTCCACTTCCATGAGTCAAAGGGTTGTCCCTTACAGAGTGCAAACGAACATCCCGGGCGTGGGTACCCTGGAAGAGCCAGCAAGGACGAATCCAGTCTTAAGAGCCAAAGCTACCCGCCCCTGGCAAATAGTTCTGTATTGAAAGAAGAGGAGACGGGCCCAATGGCTTTGGCCAATGTTTCCTTCAAGCAGGAGTACCAATGGGGGCTACAATCCCTATTTTGTCTCCACACCCATATTCATCGCAGCTCAGTCACAAAGACATGCAGCACTTGGTCTTGCGATCCGCCTTGGTGCACCAAATCAATGCGGCCAGGGCTGGGAAAGGTGGCTTCGGAAGCTCAGCCATCGGCAGAAGCGTCTCCAACACCACAAGCATCTCAATCGAGCGCCTGAGGAGTCTGTGAAGTGCTGGGCCCAGCATCTAGATGAAAAAGGACTAGCATTGGGTTGGAGGACCCAATGCAGAAATCATCCCACACAATCAAATCTTGATCCGCCTTTGATCTTCAATCTTCCGCTTTTTCATCTGGGATGGGAGCCATGTGGTTAGGGAGCAAGAGTGTCCAAAGTCTGAACACATTGGATGAATTTGAGCCCCTGATCTTGCCAATGAGCAGGCAAATGCCAATTTCCGTGTGCTTTGCAACATTACGCTTATGCATGCTTATACTTATAGCTCGTCATAACTCTCGTCATAGGTATATAGGTGAAGTAGTAGCTGAGAACAACAAACTACACTCATAGTAATGTGGTACGGAACATAGGTGATGACTACTGCGAGCAATTTGTGCAAGGCTGGGATGTACAACAATTCTCCCCAGCGGAGTCATGCCAGTGCACATGGTATTAGACAGACGGAGACGCCCTTGCACGTGGCCCGCTGGAGATTTACATTTACGGACATTTGCAGTTGGACATGTGCAGGAGTGGGTTGGTCTAGATTGTTCTAGGAAATATCTTGTTGCGGGCCTCCAAAGATTTATATACAGTAAACACACGAATCAAGCAAGAACAGGTCTTTCCAAATGCTCTCCCAACATGGAAACCATCACCACAGCTTGATACGAGTGTGATCTTTAACCAGCAAGGATGCTCATGGTATTGGCATCTGTGATGGCAAATGGATGTTTGCTTTCTTCTTTTTTTTCTTTTTTTCGGAATTCCTGGTCCAAGATCTTATACTATCTAGATATAGAGTCTAGATGTACACATGTAATACACATGTTTATTGTATGTCTACATGACTTGCGTGTTCCCCACAGCCACCGCTACGTCCCGTGTCCCAGAAACGGCCCACCTGACCCTCTGGACGGTCCGGACGGCCCAGTGGCCGCAAGACGAAGCGCCAAAGCCCATCTGCGGAGCAGAGACATGGATTCAATGCGACGTATACGTACGTACGTAGCAAGGACACAGAGCATCATCGTGTATCCATGGGTGACCTCCTCCAAAGTAAGATGACCACCATCTGCAGGAACATCAGCTTCTAAACGTCGTTGACTGAACCAAGAAGCAATAAGAACAGGAATCTCAAAAGCTATGGGCAGGAACCCACAAACAAGTGTCTCTGGCCGAACCCATTCTGGAAATCTCTTGCACAACTTTTTGTTCTCCTACAAGTTGTATTATGTTCTATTATCTCAGGCATTGTGAACCATGACTGGCTGGCTAGAAAAACATCAATACTATTGGCTGTTCAAAACCCACATGCACCTCGACATGGTGCACATTTGCACCTCGATATGCACAATGTTGCATCCTATCTGCGCCTGGTTTCGGTTCCGCTAAATTCCGTAAAGTAAAACGGCCCTTACGGCACCCGATCTCATCCGATCGACTCCCACCGATGAGCACCGCCATGGCACTCAGTCGCGTCCGCGCGCGGCGACACAGTGGGGTTCTCTTCGGCCCAGGAAGCGTTGAGGTGTTTGGCACATGAAGAGCGCTGGGCTGGGCCTATGTTCGACAAACCTATATAATTTTGACGTGTTGACGTGGGTGTCATCATCAGAAATCGCCCAAGACGCGACTGAGGAGTCTACTATTTGTCAGTGTTTCTGTGCTTGAGGAGTCTAACAGGAGTCTAAGGAGGTGGTCCAAACACTTCCTGGCAGCTGTGTTGGCAGCTGTGTCTCAAGCGTCTCAAGTAGTTGATGTATTGATCGTCCAAACCTGGCCATCAGTTTTTTCATTCAAGTCAAGATGGCCAGGGCTTTGAAGAGCCGACAATGCCAAGTTTGCAAAGCGAACTTTGGAAACTGGTGTAGGTTAGGTCGAACTTCTGAGAATCTGGTCAAACTTCCACGGCGGGCCCGGCGGGCACCTTCTTTTGCCTTAAGTGCAAGATCGTGTGCATCATGCATGGATCTATGTGCTTCCCATACTCACCTAGCCCTCAACACAGTAACAGTTCCAGGACCCATGGGAGCCATCACAGTGCACGTGAACAAGATGCGCCAAGCCAACCGATAGGCCGAGGCAGTCGTTCTTTTTCCACGCCAAGTTAGCCGGCATTCACTGCTTGCGATGCACCCCCCATTGGGAATCAACTCAAGGCTCCACGGAGCCATTGGATTCCGAACATCACACGCCATGCGGTTGGGCCGAAGCGCCAACCCCCCAAGAAAAGCACTGATCGAAGTGGCAAAAAAACACATTGGCCAATGCGATCCACAGCATTGGCCTGAAGAAGTCCGCAAAAAATCTGGAGATCTTAGGCAAACATTCACCAAATATACATACACGAGACCCAAATTCAGCCAATCATACTGGCAAGGCTGGGCCCAAAACGGATCCTTTAGTAAAATGTGGTCAAAGTACATCTAGGGCCTAGGGCCCCTCCAATGTCCAAAATGAAGCCGCCAGTGAAGCGGCTTTAGGGGTCCAGTTCATGGTGCGAAAAACTCACACACCAGTCCTTGCCATGGGCTGCTTGGGTGGACAAAACCTTTCAGCACAAAAGGCAACAACTAAGAGTCGGTCCTACAAAATCAACATAGATAAACCAATCGAAACATCACAGTAACCATCAGTACAGTAACCCTTTTATAAGGTACCCGCCGGCAGTGCAAAGGTTTTGATGGTCCCTCACTCTCGACTTGCCCACCTCCTTGCGCCTCCATGTCCCTCAGCAGTCCGGAGAATGGACGTACTCAGCCACGGCCACATGGAATGATTCACCCAAGAGCTCGATATGGGAATCATTTGGCTGTCAAAACCTAATGCTGCCCACCAACATGAACAGAACGGACTACCATGTTTTGGAGGTGAGGTCTTGACCCACACAAAAGAAGAAACAACAACAAGCCTGGTGTACAGAAAATCCTGGTAGGAGCATCATGTTTCTTCAACCTCAGCACCTTCATCTTCTCACAGGTTGCACGTGCACGTGCACCATCAAAGAAAATCGCTAATGATTTTGCTGGTGTCCTTGTTGGACGCACCACATCCAAGCATTCCCCCCCCACAATCTCTCCGACCTGCTGAAAGAAGAACCACCGCATCGCGGATCGTGCTCAACGGACCACGTCCGCCGTGCCTAAGGCAGGAAAGAGACCCGCAACCAAAGCACAAAGCGTAGCAAAACCGTGGGACGACATGTAGACGTGTGAAGGTCCCTAAACGTGACAATGCAGGTGCCATGGGGGAAGGCCTGTGATTGGAACAAAACACAGAAACGGCCTGCCTTGACGATGGGCGGCGCATGGAGTTTGGGAATACATGTTTCAGCCGGTTCAGCCATTCTGCCGTTCGGCTCATTCTTCAGCTCAGGTTGGGGCATTCCGAAGAACCGGAGGGGGCAGTCATGTGGAATAAAAGCAACACGTGCCTATACTGACATACTGTACATACCCAAAAACACGCCGAAAACAGCATATACACTGTACAGTATATACATATGCACACTGTACAGTATACAGTCATGTACCATATCAGAGGGGCTTGCAAAAATGACTCTCACTTTTTTTTGACTCTCAG